TGAGCACTCTGGCATGGCTTAGATGATACCACAAGTGTGGGATCGGTTGGGGGTCACCATCTCGGTTCTCCCCCATCCTAGCATCAGCACTGCACTGATGAGGCCCAGAAGGCCGAAACAGTACTGTCTGCAGTTATTTATATATATATAAATTCTGTATACAAGGGAAACCCTGACCCTGTACACCCCAAATAATCATATTTAAATAGAATAAGTGTTAGAAAAGAAAATTTTCCCTGAGCGGGATTTGAACCCACGTCCCCCTGTTACTAGTCAGGTGTGATGACCACTACACTATCAGGACAACCATGCTGGCACCACGGCAATCGAAGATGTGATTTACGTGATCAGAGACGTGGTCTCCCAGGAAACTTAATTTTCAAGGTGACAGGGTAGGTGAAGCCTATAACCCCATATGAAACCCAACTAAGGATCTATTAAAGATACACGACCGAAGTTAACTTAGCGGATGACAAAGGAGGATCCAATAACGTATACAGGCTAATTTCAATTAAACAAGTTCTGTATACAAGGGAAACCCTGACCCTGTACACCCCAAATAATCATACTTAAATAGAATAAATATTTGAAAAAATGTTTGAAAATTAAATAAAAATTAAAGTGTGTTTATTGACTTATTAAATAGTCAATAAACACACTTTGCTATGCTTGAAGAGCCGCAACAGCGGTGAAACGCGTAGCGCAAAAGCAAAGAGAAAGAAAAAGAGGACTATCGTTTTTCATTGATTTCAGTATCTTTATTCGACACAGAAGTTTACAGTTTGTTTTCCGGTGACAAGAGTAGGTGTAGTTGGTTTTCTGGAACAGGCGAGAGATGGTTCGGTGAGACGGGCAGCTGTACGGCAAGATGGCAGTTTAGCGGGTTTAGTTGAGGTAATAAGGCCTTGAGGGTCAAGGATCGGCGAATCGGAGGAAATAGGTGGTGTTGGCGACAATTCAGAAGAGGCAGGCAAAGAATCGGTAGATTGGTCGATCGTAAGATTTTCGACAGTAGGTGGAGGGCCGTCGGTGGATGGTAGATTTTCGGGGGTAAGATTTTCGTCGATGGATGGAAGATTCTTGGGCGTAAGATTTTCGTCGGTGAATGGGAGATTTTCGAGCGTAAGATTTTCGTTACGGATTTCCTGGGCGGAAGAGCGGAAGCGAGTGGAAGATTTTCATCAATTGATTGTTGGTCATGAGACGTGTCGATGTGTACGTCTTCCAATTCATCCGTTGCGGTGCCATGGACCGCTGGAGAGACCCATGAGTATCGGCAATTAACACCATAG